ATTTGAGAGAGATGTGTGTGGTGGTTTCACCCACCATCGCACCAAAAATATATATCATAATATAATATCATTAGTAAGGAAATTACTTCAAGCCATTTTTTAAGAACCTAAATCACATATGTAAACTGGCATGACCAGATTTGCCCATGTCGGTAATGTGCCAACTGACGTGTCTGATGACTTAGCGTTGAGTTGGATGATGATATGACGATAAGATGGCTATACAATCATTTATCCAATAATAAAATCTGAGGATGCTGCAAAGCGGTTTTGAACCCTGACCTGGGACTCAACACCACACACAACAACCACTAAGCCAAGCCAACACTTATGATATGTTTCCCTCAAATAATAGTTAAACACGTAAACCAACAAGAAGCAACAAAGAATGAGGCACCTCACACAACATTTATATTTCTTTTTATTTTTCTTTTCTATTTTCATTTTATGATAAATATAATATAATTAAAAAATAATATATATATATATATATATATACACATTTGAGAGAGATGTGTGTGGTGGTTTCACCCACCATCGCACCAAAAATATATATCATAATATAATATCATTAGTAAGGAAATTACTTCAAGCCATTTTTTAAGAACCTAAATCACATATGTAAACATAGTAAAACTCTAAAAATATGATGTTTGGCAAGAAAAAAAGGAAATGAAAGTAGTGACTATGTTTCCAAAAATTCACCCTTAAAAGAAAAGGATTTTGATTAACATACTCTCTTCCTAACACCCTCAGGGCAATGGAGTATGCTTTGAAATCTCAGTAAGAAGTTTCAAGTTTTACCTTTAATGGAGTTTTGGTGGTTTATTTCAGTGGATAACAAGGATGATTGAAAATTTTTTGTGTTTTTGAAAATCAATTCATCTCCCTCAATATTTTTTTGAAAACAAATCCTTTTTTTTTTCTTTTGCTTTCTTTCCTCTACCTCGTTGAATTCCTCTACCCCCTCTCATCTCTTTTCTTCTGAAACTCCAATACATTTATAGACACAAGCAAAAGAATAAAAAATTAAAAAATAAAATAAAATAAAATAAAGAAAAGAAAATGGATGTTAAAGATGGTGGTGTGTGATTATGAAAGTGGATGATGAATGTTGATGGTGGTGTACGATTATAGAAGTGGATGGCGAGTGTTGATGGTGGTGTGCATTATGAGACATCTTCCATCTTCTTCTTTGATTTCTCTTTCTTTTTCTTTTTTTTATTTTCTTTCATTTGAGTAGGTGGGTGGATTTCTCCACTGAAAGATTTTTTTATTTTTTTATTTTATAAATTAATATAAAATATCTAAAATATATTATTTTTAGCAATTTATATATGTAACACCGGCCTCCTTGATTACCAATTTATGTGCCTTTATGTGATTTATATGCTAATATGTATGAAAATCATGTGCCATGAATTGTTTGCATGAATTTTGGGATTTGAAGAGAAAATTTCAAGGGTTTTAACTTTAACACTCAAACTTTGCATACATTGAGATTGTACACTTACAGTTCATAATTTGTGGTCTTATTTGAGAATAGAGCCTTGTTTTATTGTTTGAAGTTGGAAATATTCAATTCATTTGGTTTTTCAATGTTTTTTAGCCTTCTTTTGTGTAAAATGAAATTGGGTTTGAAAAAGGGAAAAGCTCTATTTTCAACAAAAATTTGAACTGGTTTTTCACCCAGACCGCACGAGCGGCCTAGGCCACCGCACAAGCGGCCAACCTTGTTTTGGCCAAAGTTGATTATGAAGTTCACCTGCTCATGCGGCCAAGACCACTGCACATGCGGCCAGCATGGCCAGCCCAGTTTGATTTTCCTTATGTTTTCACTGACTTCTGGGCCTCTAATTGCATGATTTTCAACTGTTTCCATGTGCATGTGCATTGTATGAGCACAAGAGGAAATAAAAGAACAAACCATTGTGCTTTCCTGTGTCTATGTAGGTCAGACGCTGCATCCTAGCCACGTGCTACACGGAACTAACTGTGAGTGACAATGTAGTAAAGCTATGTTTAAGTTATAATTCTTTCTGACTGTTATTGTTATTGTTCAAGTCTATTCTACAGTGATATAATTTACTGAATGAATGAGTCCACTCCATGCAATATGTTCACGTGGCCCATACCCGGGTGTAACAATATCGTGGTTCTATTCACATGGCCCTTACCCGAGGGTAATAATACCGTGGTCTACGTTCATGTGGCCCTTACCTGGGGGTAATAATATCGTGGTCTATATTCACATGGCCCTTGCGCAGGGGTAACAATACCGTGGCCTATGTTCACGTGGCCCTCGCTGGGGGTAATAGTACCATGGCCAAATATGTACGAGATATTGAGTTATATAATTGCTATGCTTTAACGAACATGTTATTGCTATGTGACTTGACTTTAATGTTTAAACGAACATTATTCCTATCCTCTTTACACATTGTTGTTCACTGGGTTTTGGCTCACAGTTTATATCTATCATGTGGTTGATCAAGCTCAAGAAAGGACTTAAGGGCATCAACCTACTTACCAGTTGTGCAGCCAACCGTTGTGCCTCCCTTTAAGGTTTCTTTAGGTCTACCTCCAAGGCTTTTGGGTGGTTATGAATTCACCCTTTTGTTAAGTGATCAAGTGACTCATAGCAAAGATCTTTTGTTTTATAATATTAATTAAGGGATTAATTCCCTAGGTATTGTATATGCTTTTGGTACATGTATATGATATAGTATTGGAGGATTGTATAATGATGCATATACGGGGTTGTTTATTCATTTTAGTTTCAAAGCTCATTGGACGATGTATTGTAATATTATGGCTTTTGCCAACCCCTTATACTATTTCTTGTTAAGCAAGCCTTTAGTAATCTCAGATTACTGGCCAACTACGTCTCTAATCCTGTGGGGCGGGGGTTAGGTCATGATAATATACAAACACACAAAATATGCACAAACACATAAAATTAATGAACTAATAAAATATATTTTAGCAGTTTAAAACAATTTAGCCAAAATGGGTGAAAGTTGTGATTAAAGCTCAAATTTGACTTTTATGTTGAGAAATTCATAAAATAGCATATTCCAATTTTCATCATCGAATGTTCAAAAGAAAACGCCTAAGTTTTGAGGCTATTCAGAATAGGGTGTCTACACCCACGTAGAGGCGGTATTAACCAAGGGTGGTGTTAACTGCCAACCCACACTAGGGCAATATTAACCGAGGGTGGTGTTAACCGCCAACTCGTGCAGGAAGTGGTATTAACCGAGGGTGGTGTTAACTGCCAACCCACGCAAGAGCGGTATTAACCAGGGTGGCGTTAACCACCAACCTGCACAGGGGCGGTATTAACCGAGGATGGTGTTAATAGCCAACTTACGCATGGGGCAGTATTAACCAAAGGTGGTGTTAACAACACCAACCTGCCCAGAGAACAGTATTAACCGAGGGTGGTGTTAACTGCCAACCCGAGTAGGGGGCGTTATTAACCGAGAATGGTGTTAACCGCCAACACGCGCAGGGGGCGGTATTAACCGAGGGATAAATGTGGGATACTTTTAGGGTTAGCAAGCGTGCCCAACAATTCAAACTCCTAATTTCTGATCTAATATCACTAGTACAATGTAAAACAACAAAATGAGACTCTAGATTTGGAAACTTTTACAGAAAATCTATTTTATTGCAAAATATTTGCTAGAAATGGACTACATCACCAGATTTCAGAGTATTCACCTAATCTTTTGGGGAAATTAGGGAACTCGTAACTCGTGCCAAATGCCATCATTTATCATAACCAAAGTGTCTTAGCTCAGAAACTTAAGTATGAGAGAGGAAGGTCATTAATTGAGCACCCCTCTCACCCGATCAAAGGATTAACATTTACTAAGTCATGATGTGATTTTTATAATCGATATATATTCATGTTCTGGTTTATTTATTAATACTATCATTACTATCTGAGGCAATTAAGTATAAATTATGTCACTGATTTTGGTTATGCTTTGATTTCATGCATTTTTAAAAAGTCGTTTTGTACAAACTCAGAAGTATAAGAATCAACTACATTCCAATACCAGCAACACAACATTCATCCATTGACATTTAAACAGATATCTCATCTAAGCACTTAACCTCATGATATAACAACAGATGTGATAAGAAACATGCACATGCAATATGCTAAACCCAAAAAATCTCACCTAGTACTTTAAGGTGAGTCCCAAGAAATATTTTAGATATATATATACACATGCATTGAAGATTCTAAAATTTCAAATTAGATAGCTTAAATGATGTGTTATATACCTTACATTTAAAGGTTTTCAAATAAGATGTAGGCTATATATGGCTATGATTCTAGTTTAAATGGTCCCCCCCAAAAAATATTAAAAAATATGACTATGATTCTACTTCAAATTTTCACTAGCGTATCAACTTGTATTTTTTATAAGAATAAATTATACTGAGCTCTCTTACAAGTAAAAAATTATAAATAAAACCTTTCGCAATTTTAACATAATTATATACCGACTTCTCTTAGTAAAATTAAAAAGATTAAAACTAATATAAATTATATGAAAATACAAAACTAAATAACATAAAATATACATTTTCAGTATAAAAAAAACATCATTTTTTCATCCCTATAGCTAACTGATTTTTGATGAAAATGAATCAAAATGTTATGTAATTTAAAACATCGAGGGAACTCAATATAATTATACTAAACTTGTAAAGTTTCCTACATTTCCTACATTTTCTTCAAACCTTAGGAAAGGTCATTGTAATTTACCTTCTTTTAATTTAAAAAAAAAAAATTCTGAAACATTAATACTTTGTTATTCAATAAGCCTTGTAGACAAAAACTACTTTCTTGTATTAATATCTATATGTATATATAGACAAAACTCTTTCTCTTTTTTTTTAACATTTCGGATCATGTTAAAATGCCTCAAAGTTCAAACAAACAAACAAAAAACGTAAATAATTTTCAAGTGTGCAAGGTAGAAACAATCAGACTCGTATATTTTTATGACAAATCAAGCCTGTGTTCTAATCAATGGAAACAAATTCAAAAAATCTGGAATAAAATCAAAATATCTAAGAGAAACGGATTGAAACTTTCAACTCCAAAGGCCTACTAGGAACATTTTTGATAATATAGGTTTCAAGAGGGACGCCCTCCTCGAAACACAAAAACACATGCAAAAGAAAAGGAAAAAAGAAAAAGAAAAAGAAAGAGGGTGCTTATAGATACATTCCTACACCCATCTTAGTTGTCCCAAGAGATTACATTCATGGCTCATGCATCCCACATAACACTACAAAAGTACACCCTAACCCCAAAATCAAGCAAAATCAGTGAGCCAAACTGGAGTGTCACTGAGGGGAAAAGGTTATGAACATCAAAATAGCAAACAGCTTCACAAACGCCACATGTATGTTCATCTTATGTTCGCTGCAGGTCTAGATCCTGTGCCCAGATAACAATATCATTATTAGCAGCAGCAGCAGCAGAAACACAGATGCTCATAATTCATACCAAATGTGGCTCAAACACAGGGCAAAACTGAATAATCTATATTACCATATGAGGTTATTTGTAGCTTGCTACAATTCCAAAAGTTTAAAATTAAACAAATAACACAAAGAGCCTAGGTGCAGATCGGAATATCAATTTACACAAGTATGGGATACAAAACAAAGACCAATGCGTGAATTCGGGAACAATTTGCTCAGGATCAAAATCTCATACTTCAACCACAAGATGCTTTACTTCAAAAGAATAAATAAGCTATAACCAAAAGAAGAACAAGAAGAAAGGTAAAAACATTGACCACTTGATCACCACCAGTGTGCTTACCCTAGAAGGAATTCAAAAGAATACAATGCACAGACAGTACATACATATATATATATATATATACGATACATACAGATTAAGTATGTAGTCATGGCAATATGGACATATAAAGTTGATCATGGCCATGCTCAGCCCAACAATACTTAGTGTTTTCAAATTGATGTGAGCAATATGCAGTCTCCCTCTTTACTGGCCACCTAACAGAAGGCCGTAATTGTTATTCAAGGACTATACATCTCAGGGCGGGATGCAATTAGCAAAACGTGAGGGAATCAAATATATTTATTAGAAACCTTAGGGGAGGTATTTTCAATTTACTCAATATATTTTTGGATGCATGTGCATTTGATAAGAAGATATGTATTATTTAATTGATGTTAAGTCATATTTCTATGACAACAATTGCATTAACTGAACAGGGTATTATGAAGCATGACAAATAATAGATACATATTGCATCCCTTCTTGATGTATACTGCATTACTAGTACTACTACTCTTTTTTACACCTTTATTGGTATGACTTCTACCTATATTTCCTTTTGATAGTTTACTTAGGAAGACTCAAACTTTGAGTCTCTTTATTAGAAAATTGCAGCCTAAGCCGCTGAGGTGTCACCTAGGGGACTCATATGACTATCTATATTCTTAGCCTCTATTCTCTGAAACCTTCCTAGTCTCTAAATGGTTCAATCTCTTATCACTCCACACTGATATATAGTTGATGATTCATAATGGTATCATTAGCTAAAATCCAAGCCTGATACCAAAACTTCAAACCTGCCACAGAAGCTCGCCCATGCAATCTACCATAAGGACATGGTATAATTCAAAGGAGAAAATAAGAGCAAATTGGCCATTGCTGAGAAAAGGAAACACAACTTCATGTGTCACAACATATAAGTACTTACTACTAGAACGTTTAATGTTTCGACAAAACTGGCTGCCACACTGGCACTTGAACGCCTTGACTGGATGATCATGATCATCAAAATCAATACCATAATCCTGCAAACATATCACATTTATCATCTTGACAAAGGTAATAAATATAAAACCCCACAACTTTATTTTTACGCATTAACTAACTCTAAAATGGCCAGAGTAAATAATATCAATCGAGTTGACATGCAGAAATTGCCAAGAATACAAACACACAATTGGTTGTATATATTTTGAGGCAAAACATACATGTATGCTCTGATACGAGGATGCATAAAATCATAGCCAGACATTCCAACTACACCAGATATGCACAGTGCAATACAGGCAACATTAAACAGGCTGTTCTTTGTATAACCACTAATTAAATCACAATCAGATGAACACTTTGATTTAAACATCACACTTTACTGAGTGCATGCAGTCCACACTTGACAGGTCAATATGTTGGTACCATCTGCACAACCTCTTTCTTCTAAGTTCTATGATATAAAATAAAGCATCATGCCATGCTAAGCTTCAAAAGGTTAAACTTCAATCAAGTCAATGGTAATTTACACCCACCTGAACACGTTCAGGCAAATGGTTATTTTATAAACCTCAAGCATAGTTTACAATTTCTGGAGATAATATTATGGTGTGCCTGATGGCTCCAAGAAGGTATTGACACAGGTAACTGCATAATTGTGATCATCCATGTTGATAACTAATTCCAAATTCACACAACATTCAGCCTTTCAGAGCAATTTAATAAATCACAGCCTAAACTAATTAAAATAAAGTAGCTTACTTTAAATAAGCAGTAAAGTGTTAGGAGTTATGACTGGTGACTTCTACATTGATAAAACTGTGAAAAATACATTCCTGGATCTACCTTTTCAGAATTTATAAATCTTCCTCCAAATTTCGAAAGCATAACCGCTGTTACCGAAAAGGTATAAATGATAATTAACTGGTATAATCAAAATATAGAATTCAAGATACTGAATCATACTCTGGTGGCAGTAACGATTAAACACTTAAATCTAATAATAACAACAAAAAGTAGGCGTGTTTGTATGCGTGTGTGTGCGCGCGCAAGCGTGCATATGTGTTGAGGCATATTAGTTCTGTATTTATGACAATCATGTTCTTTTGTATATGTATTGTAGCAATGGCATCATCATTATTTCTATGATGCCATCTAAATTCAGACTTCCCAAGCTTACAACTGAGCTGAATAGGGCACAGTATGCTTATGAGTAGTATCAGCAGTGAACAACTATGAAAAGTAATCTGCTATGAAGAGAACACAAGAACAGTATTCCTAGAAGGAATTGAGTGAAAGAGCAGAACAGAAAACTAAGGCCAGTCCAAAAATGTGTCTGAGAACCACAAACGAGTTTTAGAGGTTCCAAACTCAATCATCAACCAAATACCATTCATAACACTCTTTTTCCTTTCATTTTTTGATGTGTATATTAGAAAAGATGCCGTAAAGGGGAAATCACTGTACACTCAAAAGTCCCCCAAAAGCTATGCATCCAGAGTAAAGTATAGATCACCTATAAACAACACAGAAGAAGAAACAGACAAAGGCCAGCCCTCTCTCAACCAAATACATATATATATAAATAGAGAGAGAGAGAGAGAGAGAGAGAGAGAGAGAGAAAGAGGAGTCGACATCCTTTAAGACTACAAAAGACACTTAGGCTGTGTTGGATCATGGATTTGGATAAGAACTTTGAAGGGAGAAGGGCATAATATTTAATCCAACTTCTCCGTTACCCTTCAAACCCATTCTACAATAAGAAGATAAGAAACTCCCAGCACAAGATTATCAGCTTTTTTAGTAACTACTTCGCATGTTAGCCCTTTCATTTGACTCTTTAACCTAGAATTTGCCACATCATTAGCCACTAAAACGGCATCCAAAATCTGCCCATCACCAACAAAAACATTCTAGCTCTCTAAAATCACCTTCTCAAAAACCCTTTTCAATATCAAAGCAAGTACTTTGGACAAACTATTCATAATAATAAAGTATTATTCTTGAAGTATATAAAGATTCCCTTTTGGGGTTGAGCCACCCTGGATGATGCTAATGTATACAATGCCTTAGCCTTGACTGACCCTAAGCACTCAAAGATACTCTATCACACCTCCTAATAGGGTAACCTACAAACAATGGAGACAGCCCCTCTGATTGGCCAAATCTCATATTACGCATGTTCATCCCTCTTGCTCACAATGACATGCTCGATACCCTTAGCTTGCCGAGCAAATATTCGGTCAAGCATTGTCATCCCCTCCCACTCACGATGAAACATTTGGCACACTTAGCTCGGCCTAATCTTTGAATCCTCAGTTTCCAACAATTGTTGTTTTGTCAAATCGATTGGGGAGTGATGGTTAGTGCCTTTCTGTTAGTGCTCTTGTGGAGTGCCTTTTGAGGCCACCAATTCAAAATAGTGGAGCCCCAAACCATCCACCTAATGTGTCTCTCATATGCCTCGATCCCTTATCTCCAGTATCATCTCCAGATGAACCCTAATGCTCTCACGCTGGCTTAGGTCGGGCACAATGCTAGGGACCTCATCGAGGTTGGTGTCACGATCATGTAGTGCCCCAGCAACCCACCCCAAACACAAGAACGCCAGTGGCATATTGCTCAATGGCAAGAGTAGGGGTTTTGTTAAAGCATTCATACCCTCCCTCAAGAGAGTTGCATGTTGACTGGACTTCAAATAGAGACTTATACAATAAGGCAACTCTACACCATGACAAGAACAAGTGGTGTGCTCTATAGGTCCATATGAACTCTGAATATGTGCAAAAGATCTCTATAACCTAAGCACCTCAAAAGATATCACCACCCCTACTAGTTTAGGCTGCTACTTTAACGAGATATCAGACCACGTACAGCTGGCCACCCATCCCTCAACCACATGCCCCTTGACACATTTCCAAGCAAGAAGCAAACACTCTCCTCTGGCATTTTGGAGACTCTGGTTCATTACATCTCTGGTTTTCCACCACTACTCTCTCTCCTCCCAAGACTACCTCAGCTCTTACCCTTCCACCTGAAGTGGTCTCTTGCTATTTCGTAACCTACCATACTTCAAAAAAGACTCAACAAGGACCGCAACCAGCCTGTTTTTTCTCAACCTTCCACAAGTATTATCAATCTTACATGTAAATCTACTAGACACTCCTATACTAAAACTAACTACACATTTATTTGCTATGAATTAATTTTCACCATTTTGGTTGCTCAATATCGCCAGTTATCAAACAAGTCTCTTTTTGTATATGTACAGCTACTTACTGCACACATACCATCCAACTGCAGTAAAAACCACACTGTTGTGTGAAAAACTTCAATACATAATCTAATGAAACCAAACTTACCCATGTCAGCTCCTCCAAAGCTTCCACCTTTCTGGTTGTGAAGAAGGCAAGCTACATGATGGGAAGACAAACAAAATAAATAAGATTTGCAACCACACATAGCTAGGTACAACACTGCAAATAATAAGTAAAAGGATGCACTTAAGTATCTAAGATTCCATACATGATAATAGTGATGGTCCGGGGTCTCTACCTCCACAGGTATCTCAACCAAGTTTGAATCAAAACATCTAGCAGAATAAGAAATAAAGTTATCTGCTATTAAAACCCAAATGAAGATTTTATGTCAGAAAAATATCAAAGGAAGAAGAAAAAGAAAAACAGAAATAACAGAGATGTAATCTAAAACGCAAGTGCAGAAAATGATAGGTCGCTATCTAAATGCAAGCAACAATGAGAGAGGCAGAGAGAGAACAGAACTTCGGTTCAAAAGAAAACCAAGAAACACAGAAATTTGCAACTTGATGAAATGGCACAATTCAATACCAGAAATAGATTGAATTCGAATCTCAAGAGTTTTTAGGGTTAACTGCCACGGGCATCACATACAGCAAGTGAGGTTGTCAAGGACTCAATCCATAGGCCTCAGTTAATTTTGGTCCTCTCTGTATCTTTCCTTGGATTTCCCCCTTTTTACTTCTTTTTATTCCCTTTCTTTTATTGTTAAGTGAAAAATCGCTTTATTATGCATCTAGAAAGCAAATAAACGTGAAAATGGGTGCCATGTCCATGCCCGACACGTATTGACTACAAGAAGGTGCGGACACATGTCAAACATGCTACGTGGCATCATGTTTTTTAATTATCAATTTTTTGTAGGACGTGTTAGGGACACTTCACAAACACGTATGTCTTGTGCCTGGAGAAGTAAACTACACGGAAACAAAGAGAGAATGTAGAAAAAAAATAAAAATACACCCACATTTACATTGATGTCTCTAATATATCTATGCCCTAATATTATATTCATATACAGTAAATAAAAATATATTTTTTTGCCGTATCCCCGTTGTATCTATATCCTAATGTTATCAATATCGATGTAACCCATGTCATGTGCCTGTGCCTGTGGCTGTGCCTGTGCTCAAGCCCATGCTTCTTAGTTATACATATACATATCAATTACAAATAAATTTTGACAGAAGAACAACCAACAACGATGTTTTAGAACACATTGATAATTAACACAAGGGCACAAGGGCATACACACGTTTGTGTTTTGTTTAACTTACCTGTGATTAATAAACCTTGCAACATTTCCATAATATGTTGCATCCAAACAAAGAGCCTCTTCATCCTTCAAGACTCCTTCTGAACCCCAATTAGCATCAAGCAGCACAGGATATGCATGTTCCTCACTGCTGGGGCTTTGTGAAATTCGTTTGTAGAGCTCTGCATTGGTTAATATTTCTCCAACATATTCACACACAAACGCACCTTTAGGGAGGTCCTCTAGGGTACGGAGACCCCACCCTTTTCCTTCAGGGATCCTACACACCTAAAACATAGAATAGGCAGAGGAATACATAGTGAACTAATCATAGAAATAATATGTAAACTAACTTGAGGATCTTACAGAAGCAAGTTGACAGAACATGTAACCATTTCTTAGCCTCACTTGCGAAGAACCCTTTTAAAGAAGTCAATAAAACAGTTATTTTACAGAAATTGCAGATACATAAGCATATGGATTTACCACCTGCAAATTGAGATCAATGGAACAAATTCTCACCTGCAAATTGCAATTTATGCCGCGCTGTACCACCCGATTGCCACACTGTTTACTGCAGCCACATTTCCACCAACATTCTTTAATGAACTTCCTAACTAGGTGACCCTTGCATGGTTCTATAATATCATCTTTTTTGGACCTTTCTAGTGGGCATTCCTTACAATAAAAGAGGTTGTGCTTTTGGGGATCGCGACTCATAGAAATACACTCTTCTAGAAAATCCTCCTTTACAAGGCCTTCTAAGGTGTAGGCAAAATCACCACCAGTTTCATGTGCGCAAGCACAAGGTGCTGACGAAGATAAACAATTGCCAAAACAAGTCAAACAACAATTCTCCCCAATTTGAGCCAGAGAGAAATTGACATTAGCATTATGGAAAACCACATTTTGGGGTATATAGCGAAAGGATGGCAGACACTCATTGTTGACTTCATTTACCAATGATATTAAAACTTTTTCTTGTCCTTTGGCTATGTCATTCACATCATGAAGTGCTAGTTGATGCTGCTCAACCACCACCAGACTACGAGAATTTGCATGTACAAGGCTAGTCTGTTCTTTTTCCTCATCAATTTCACAGCTGTTCTCAGTAGTATCCTTGTTAGCTTTTGTGCAGTCATCCATCCCACTGGAAGATGGTGGAAGTCTTGGAATTTGAGACTCAGACGCTTCAGCAGCGCATTGTGTATCAACTGATCCATTAGAAGGACCAAATGTCATGCCTCTAGCACACAAAGCATCCAATCCATTAGATTGTTTCGATAAATCAATAGCTGGAGTTACATCTATTGTTTCCTGTGATTCATTGGCAGACTCAGTTCCTAGTTCCAGAAAACAGTCACACATATCTTTCATTAGTTTCATCACAGAAAAATTTGGGTCCAGAACTTTGTATGATCTGAGACATTTATCCTCCACCATTTTGAGAACTGTATCAATACTAGGCATGCGGAAATCAGGTCTTCCAAAAGCGGAATTACAGGTCAGAGAAATCTTCACATCTCCAGAGGGTGAGGAAGCAATCTCTAAGTTAGCAGGAGACTTGTCCACAATGCTCACAAGCTCACAATTGGTTCTCCTTTCCCTTGATGAAGCTGGACCAGCAACATTTCTATCTTCTCCATGTATAGATTGGGATACTAGTGGTTCAGAACCATCATGCTCTCTGATTGAGCCATTTTCATTTGAAGAATTTCCTTTGCTCAATGGCTCTGTAAAATTTTGAAAAAAAAAAAAAAAGGTTGATCCATCAGAAATGCATAAATTGCAAGAAAGAGTATTGCCTTCGAGTTGAAAGTCTAGCAGTCAATCATTTACATGTATGCTATGAAGCATGTGTTGTGAAGCCCCTGAAAAATGTATTTTCTTTAAAAACCCTTACGTTTGAATTATTTCCTTCAAGCCCCTTAGTTTCTTAAATTATTTCGAATCTTACCAGTTAGTATTCTTAATTTTTATCATAACAAGAATATCCGAACCGAATCAGGTTCCTAAGCCTAATTTAATTTAATTCTACATAAATAAGGTTCCAATACATGAGTTCAATTCCAAGCCCTCACTTCTTTTATTAATTTCAAGATTTACCCCAAACTAGTACATGTACTTTTATACTATAGTGCCACCAAATCAATTTGTGAATCTATATATATATTGGGAATATCTCCATAGTACACATATATTGAATAGAATATTCTCCATTTCCCTTCCCCATGGCCGGCCAACGTAGGGGAGTGTGAGAGATCAATTTTCAAGGCTTGTAATCATGGCATTCTAGAAGCAAAAGTACCAAGTACCCCTAAATCAAGGGATTGTGTTCCCAACCTAGTTCCATTCCAACTAGAGACTAACTAAATCTTGTCTAATCACATAATTAAGTCCCCTAATCACTCCCCATTCCTTTAGATTCCAAGTAAATTCAAACTTCTCAATCCAATTCCAACTAATGGGCCTTTGTGTCTTTTCACACCAAATTTGCCTATATATACAACCCCCCTCTTAGCATAGCATACACAAACAACACACACACACACCTACATTCGGCCTAGAGGAGGGAAAGGAGAGCAAGAGAAAAGTCTTGAGAGAGAGAGGAAGGAAGAGGAGAGCAATCTTGTTCAACTTGGTCTAGCTTAGCAAGTAAGCCACAACACAACCCTCTCTTTTATTTTCCTTTTTCAAATACATGCTCTTAAGGGTTCTAAACATTGCTTTCAGATGTGTTTTAGTGATTTTCTTGTGTTAAAAATGAAAAGAGTTTAGCCATGATTCTACTCTTCTTGTAGTTCCCCTTATTGGGTACAAAACTATCTTTTTCATACCGATCTCTTAAACTTTCCAAAGGCATACCTTCAAGATAAATTTCTGAGTTTAATATATATTATTTAGCATATTTTCATCACACAAAAGAAATGAAAAATTTCTCTTAGTGGATCTCTTTCCTCACAAATCTTCTTGTTTTGAGTATTGTGCATTAAAAATCTATTTTTACAGCCAACTTTTAAAAATTCTAGAAAAACGTAGAAAAATCTTCTGGACCTCATTTTTATGCCAAAATCTTCCTTAAGAAGTTAGCTTTCAAGGAAAATTGGTTTCATTGAAAAAGAGTGAGCAGTTTGTAAGAAAATTCAATTTTCGTAACGGTCGATGAATCTAGGCAGCGCTGGAGTGTTTCTTAAATAACTAAAAATCTAGAAAAGCTATCCCATTTCCGAAATATGTTCTGGAAACTAGATTAAATTCTTTTCGAACCATAGGAAGGCCGAGTTCGGGAAAAATCTAAAACAACCCTTTCATTTTTAATCTTTAACGGGTACGAAATCTGAAATTTCTATTTGGCATTGGTATTTCATGCTTTTGTGTTCATGAATATACTTGTTAATATACATGAATGTGTCTTAATATGATATTACACTTGCCATGGTTGTATATCTTATATTTTAGCTCTTCAATGATGCTTACACTTATGCAAGTTTATTCTTGTTACTTGCTTGTAATAACTAACTTAAAACATTAATCTAAACGGAAACTTAATGGGGTGGCTAATGGGGTCTCGATCACATGAAGTATTATTATGAGATAAATTTATGTCCCAATTGAATTGTTTGGCGAGGCGTGTTCCCTTTTGAAAGTTACAGTCTTGCGCAAGTAGTTGTTCAGAACCTTTGAACGGAGCGGTTGTATTCGGACCCTAAGTGGTTTGGTGTAAGGAGGGAATGGGCAAGGCCCTATTTTACCGTCTCTTTTGAGGCCCTGCGGTTGGCGCTACGCGGTACATAACCGTTGATAGGCATCCGAGGTAAGGTCTGCAACAAAGCAGCAAAAGAGGGGGCATATCGAATAATCTGCGTCCGATTCTTGTGGTTGGGAGGACGAAGTCTCTTTGGGGGATTTCTAGTTTACTAACATCTAGCTTTGTAACCCTTTGTTTGGTTAGTTGAATATCATGCTTCATGACTTTTTGTCATATTTGTGATTGTTTATTGGACTGGGAAAAAGGGACAGGGTGTGCGTGCGTTTACTGGGCATTCAAAGCTCACGGCGTATCATGCCAGGTGCCGAAGAGGAGCTTATAGCTGGAGATGATGAACCGGAAACCTTCGAAGACATTTGGCTATCTTAGAAAAGTTAGAAATTTCCCTTTTGATATTTTGTAAGGCTCATATGAAGATTTAAATTTTCTTTTGGGATATAATGTAATGGAGCGAGCTTTTGTAATTAAGGATATTCGTGGCTATTATGTACTTATATTCTAACACCAATATAACCCCTAACGTTGCTTATGAGACCTTGTGTCAATACCTCTTAAGATCTGTCAAAAAGGTAGTGCGCTTCCTAAGAAAGCTGGACTTAGAAGGGAGGCTAATTTGACTCCTCCAACGATCTGGGATCTTACTTGGTTATTGACCATAGAACTCATTAGTGATTTTCCCTTGACTGCAACCAATAGTGTAGATTTGGGGCGTCACATGTGTACTTCGAGAAATATGTCGTACTAGTACCGGATACTTAGCAGTGTATGGTATTTTGTATAGTACTTCTGCATATATATCGGGTACACAAAAAAATTTTCTTCTTAATTTTTGACATACCCAGACATACCTATTATATACCCAAGTCGTACCATAGCTCAGTCAAAACAATATTTTCTTTTACTACAAACATAAAATTCCTTTCACTAGACTTTTTTTTTATTTATTTTTTGTTTTATGCTTAGCATGATTTTAAAATTAAGCTATGATTTCTAAGTTATTTAATATAATAACATCTAATTTGGGTTTATACATTTACTTTTGGCATTAAGGCCTCGTTTGGGGACTAACATTTTAGCCAAAATGTCAAAAAGTTATTATAAGTTGTCACATCACCCTCTCTATTCTTCAACACATCTTTTTGTAAAAAACTAAAAAATTACTAAATTAACTTGTTCTCAAACGAGGCCTAAATGTTAATTGTAGGTTGGATCTTAACAAATTAAACCATTTAATCAATTTTTGCATTACTCTAAATTAAAAATAAATATTTTTTTACAAACGTACCAAGCCCAAGCCGTACCCATACTCTACTTTTTTTGGATTTTACTGTATCGACATACCCATACCCGTACCCATGCTTCATGGCATGTATGGTAATTAGAAATAACAATCAAAGGCATGTCTCATACTAATATGTATCAAGTAAGTAGGAGACATTCATATATCTCCCATCAGACAATATAAAGTTTAAAAAGAATAAATCTTATCAACATATCGTCACTTGTTGGCACAAGCCTTCAAAATATGAATGTGTTCGCATAAATATCTGATAACTCCAAGTTAGACTCCTTCCTAACATTTATAAACAAATCAACCGCAATGATATTTTGATGGCTCTAGTAACTCCAAGTTAGACTCCTTCCCCCTAGATTTATAAAAAATTCAACCACAGAAATCACTGAAATTGAATCAATGATAAGCCCAACAGCCCATTAAATTAACCAAAAACAGTACCCTAACTTAGAAGGAATCCCATACTAAACCCCCAAAAAAAATAAAATAAAAACAAAAACCGCTTTTCCATTTACTCCCTCCGTTTCGTCCTCATTACCAACGTGACGACCAACTTTGAATTGTACTCAAAGTTCAACATATTTTTTCAAGACCAACACGAGATCAATCAAAGTTCCAAGCTCATGATAGATCGGTATGAACAAATGACAGGGCAATTGCGTCAAACGCAAGCAACCTTGGATAAATTTGTGGTTTACTTTTTTAGGAGAAAATTCAGAAATTATCAAAGTGCTTGTAAAGATCATGTGAAAATTATTGATCACCCTGTTCCAATACTCAGAAAAAGTGAAATTATTTTCAAAGAAAGTTCAGCAGAGGTTGACATCTCAAAAACCGTCATTGCAATGCAAGAAAATTTCATGCAAGAAGCTGTTCTACCAAAAGAAGAGCTTCCAAACGAAAAGCTTGTATATGCAAACGCACCAAAACTGCCAAATCTTATTGACCCGCCACCACCCAATTATTTCATCATATGAAAGATTGATTTCATTGTTGTTGATGAATTTCCTCACGATCAAATCCCAATTTAGTGGATCTTCTCAACCCATTGGACACCAAAAGCAGTTGGCATAGGAAGACAGCAAAGAAAACCACATATTCTAAGTATTTGATTTTCTGGCATGGACGAGTTCAATACTTGAAGGGGAACTCGAGGTCGAGTTATTTTTCTCAACCGGAAAGAATGATGCGGAACATGTGTGCACCATGAATTTTTTATAATTTTGTCTTTAATTATTGTCTAATGTGTTCTAGTATTTTATTTTTTTAATTATAGCTTAATTTAGTTTGGTTAGGATTTTAATGATATTTGTTTTCCTATTCTATTAGGATTTAGTTTCCTTGTTTGTTTAGGTTTTTTGACTTGCAAATATTAGGATTTACATTGTATTATTTAGCTTAGAACAATGAAAATTTAAGTTAGCGTTTGATTAAGTTTTCAAATCATGATTTGGAACAAAAAAATTCAAAAAAAATTTCAAAACTTATAACCAAACAAAATTTTCAAAACTCTACTCAAAAACTCTTTTCAAAACTCATAATCAAATTCTTTTCAAAACTTCATTTTTTTTTTTCAAAAAATATTTCAAAAAAAATTATTTTTTTATTTTGTTCTTTAAAATTATGTTTTATTTTTTTTAAAATAATATTTTCAAAAATTATTTTTTATTTTTATTATTTTTTAATTTTCTCAAAAAAATATTTTGTTATTTTTTAAGTATTGGCCAAATAATTTGTTATGATTTAGACATATATGGGTGATCCAAAAAAATTTTAAAAAAATTAAATATTTAAATATTTAAAAAACATTGAACGCACAAATATAGTAAATGCAACATACATTAAAAAAATGAATAAATATTTACCCTAAAAAACTAAAATTAAGAAATATTTTAAAAAATAAATAAACCCAAAACAATTTCAAAATACAACTTAAAACTCTTTTCAAAACTCACAACTAAACAATTTTTCTCTTTTCAAAACTCATTTCAAAAACTAATCTTTCAAAACACAACTCAAAACTCATTTCAAAAACTAAACCAAACGGAGCCTAAGTTTTCTAGGTTGTGGCCAGTGTGTTAGGGTTGTTGCCCTCTGCTTCTCATCTCTTCTATTTCTTTCTTAAGGCATCCTACATCACCACCTAAGTACCCCAATCCTATTTTGACTATTTGACATTCAAGATCCCCCACAATGGCCCTCTCAAGTTCCAATCTTAGTCAATCACTCTCTCTTTCTCTCTCTCTCGATCAAGTTCCAATTTAAATTGTATTATTTAGCTTGGAACAATGAGAATTTGAGAGTTTTAGGTTGTGGATGTGATAGGGTTGTGGTCCTCTTCTTTTTTGTTGTTATTGCTGTTTGATATTGATATGAAATATTACTATCAAATTAAAGCAATAAATTTTATTGATAAGAAATCATTAATTATGATAGAATTGACAATTTAGAGTAATTTGGATTGTTGCTATTTCTTCCACAGAAAGGAGAAACATGCAAACAGAGATGGATCAGTCTTCTTTGCTATTGATTAAAGACCTATTGATGCATGCCACCTTTTCTTTGATTCTATGTTCAAGTCATCTCTACATATCATTAATTGATCATTCTCTTCTGCTAAGACCTGTTTTGTGTTATTAAATACTAACTAATATAGTGTTCACTAAGAATAAAGAATTTTCATCAAGGCCCAAACTGCAAAGAACACACCGAAAAAAAACTGAGCAAAAACAAATTGAGAGACATGGGCAGAAACATTAGAATTAGAATAAAAATGACAGTCAACCACAGGAGATAGGATGTACCAGGATGAATCACTGCAATAGGCTGAGGCATGTCATCAGTAACAGGCTCATCTTTAGGCTTGATCAAAGCATGAGAACTATGCGTCTGTTGTTTCGTCAAAAGAACAATGCCACGATCAACATTTGGCTCTCTCAAGTGCACTGCATGAGGTGTCCTCTCAGAAAATGCTCTCTTATCTCTTTGAGCAATTTGAGGTAATAGAGGTTCCTTTCCTTTCTCCTTGAGACGTATTGGAGGAGAAACTGAATCAGGTTGAGATGGCTCAAATCTTTCCTGTATTGATAGGGGCTTAGGCGAGACAGCTTGTTTTCCTTTGTTCCTAATAAGGGTCTGGGGTGACAAGGGATGGGATCCAGCCCTCACATTTTCTATATTAGGCTGAGATAAGTCTGTCATGTCCTGTGACTGTTGTTGGGGACAAGTTTCAGGTAGTTCAGCCTCCTCCACCTTGGGCTGTCTTAAGGAAGTACCACCCAACCTGGGGCTAGAATTACCAACAGAAGGTGAAACGTGACCTTCTTGGTATCTTACGCGCAACCTTTTTAAGGGGCGTTCAGGCTCCTCATGCACCCGTGCTTCTTCATCCATTACCCCCCACTAGTCTCAAGTAAAAATAAAAATAATAATAATAATAAATAAAAAGAGTCAATAAACAAAAACAAATATATGAGACGTGAGATAACAGCATTTTGAATCAGTACAAACATGACGAATCGACCACATACATCAGTATTCTTCTTTTGTTCTGTCACCTGAAAGACGAGATAAATAAAATTTAAATATACAAAAATAAATGTAAGTATAATTTAAAATAAAATAAAATAAAAAACCAAACAGCCTGACTAACAAAAATGACGGCAGCAGGTTAGATAAAGCGTGCACAGAAGAGAAAGGGAGAGCGAGATGCACCTGAGCTTCCTCTTGGTCAAATATAGCATCTGCAAGGGCTCTGTAATTTTCTTCCTCAATGAGTTCCCAGTTTTTGTCGTACAATTTTAAAAGATTTTTCAAGATTGGTTTCACTTTTTCTTCACTGATGCCAAGAACCTTCATAGCACGAAAGGCTTTTGCAACTCTTGGATTTGGTGCCATTGCTTATCTCCAAGCCAACAATTTTCAAAACAGACTCCCAATCATCCACTGCACCCACATTTTCCTAGATTTTGTAAGGGAATAACAACACAAAACTATATTGACAGAAACCTTCAATGCATTAAGTAATACTGTCAAAAACTAAAACCAAGGGGCCTTAGCCTAGTTAGCCAGCCCTTTGGGCACCAAGTCTCTCTCCTAAGGGGGAGAGCAAGATTTTCATGCAAAGTGTTTGGGTGTGAGTTTTCAACTCCCCCAATGTGCTAATCTAACAACTAACCACTGATTTTCGCCAATCAATATATATATACTGTCAAAAACTAAATAGCATTGTGAACCATGCCAAAATGATCATCCTAAACTTCATCCAAAATAAAGCTAGATGAGCATATCACAATTTTCTTAATGAACTTGTCAAGGTAATACATGTTTTTAATGCTATGTTTAGTAGGGGGGAAAAAGAAGGGAAGAGAAAGGGTAGGTAAGAAAAGTGGTTCACTAGAGAAGTCGCTTGGTTTAGTAGAAGAGGGAGAAGAAAAGAAACATGTTTTTAAAAAAAAATATATTGTTTGATAAGGACATGATTTAAATTTATTACAAGTTTTCCTCGAGTTACAAATAAGTAACCAAACTTAAAGGCAAGGATCAAAATTTCATTTCAACATGTTTTCAGGCCTATGTTATAAAGACTCAGGTACGAGTGTCGGATGTGGATGCGTGCGTTGCGTATCTAGAGGTCGGACCTATCAAACCTCGAATTTAAGGGTACATGGACTTGGCAAAATGGGCATGTTTGTAATCTATTAAGTGAGATAAAGTGCTATATGTAACATACAGAGTCAAAAAATACATTTCTCATTGTATAGCAATTATACAACCATATATGCAAATTATGATAATGTTAAACACATAGAAGTGTCTGATGAAAATTATTAGACACATATCTCATACCCTTGTCTAAGTGTCAAATGTCCGACATGGGTATTTGATCATTTTTCTTTCTTTTTTTTTCCCTAAAGAGTCTATGAAACATAGGTTTACATTACCTTGGAAACAGAAACATAAAAGAAATGACAAGAGAATTTGGAAATGTATGAAAATGTTTGGCAAAAAACGAAAACCTATATAAATGTTAATACATTCCCAATAATTAAATGAAAAAATAATTAAACATGTCGTTGCTTATGAATAAATTTTTTTTGGGGGGGGATAAATATGTCAATGCTTATGAATATTAAAAGCTTATAAACAAAAAAAATATAAAGTGATTTGCTATCGTAAGAAAAAAAAAATTTAAATGCAAAATTTTACCAATCATATGGATGAAAAAGACGACAAAAAATTATTGATGACAACCTTTATTATAAAAAGTAAATAAAAAATTAACGGTAACAATGAAAGAGAATACTGACTTAATCATGCTTGTTTCATCTTTTCCTCTCTATCTCTCTTGTTTTCCTTTCTAGTTTATCAAATTCTCCAACAAATTTAAGATTTTGCTTTGTTCTCAAATCAGTCTCACCAAAATATTGTTGATACCCTAGTAAATTACATTTTGAAATACATGTTCCAAAATGTGGTACACCGTTGTTCCAAAACAATAAATTTAGAGATCCAAAATGGTTCCAAAAAATTTTTACAATATATTTCCTTAAAAAAAAAATTAATCTTTTCTCATCAAACCTCTCAAACCAAATGGGCTGTTCCCATTTATTGGTTTGGAATTTTTTTTCTTCCCCTAGTTTATAAACCAATAATTTCAATTACAGAGAAGAAATCAATCACTACAATGGCCGAGTCTGCCAAGGAAATTAGTAAACAATGACAAGGGAAAACTTTATTCTTGTTTCATCGAAAGCTTAAATAGAACACAAGTTTGAACTCAACTTAAACAACACGTGTATTGGCATGGTTAGAGTTATTTCCTTTTCAATCTCTTGAACTCGAACCCAACGATGAAGTCATCAAATTTCTTCAATATTTTCTTTTTCTATAGCAACGAGTGTTATTTACAATGCAAATAGCAAATAAACTGTAAACGCAAGTGAGTAGAACTTTACCCAAATTTTGGTTCAGTGCTAAAACAATATCAACATTCTTGGCGATTGAAAACCCTAAACCCTAAAAATAACTATAAAGAGAAAAAACAAAAATGAACCGAATGCCAGTGATTAAAAGTACTATAATTCACGGTTTATAACCGTAGAAGGCAAAACTCATAAATTATTATGATAAATTAACTTTCTTTCTTCGATTACAGTAATATAATCAGGAAAAATCAGAAGAAAAATTGAGAAGGATGAACAGAGAGAGAGAGAGTATATACATGATACAAAGATGTAATCGAAGAAGGAAACGTGCCGGCGATTTGTAATGGAGTGGAATGAGAGTGCGTGTGAGAACGAGAATGAAGAAGTGAGATTGTTGTATCTTAGAGAGAGAGAGAATGGGCGCGTGAGAGGTTGGGTGAGATGAGAACATAGTGAAGACGACTAGTGTGATGGGTCCAGCAAAGGGCCTATGGCTAGACGAACCAGTGGCGCGTGGAATTAACGCTTAAACACACTTTGACCTTATTTGAAAAGTTTGCTATTTAACTTTCTCGCCATGCTCTCTCTAGGGCATCTGTGGTGGGGGTTGTGTCTTGCCCACCGGTGCAAGGCATTCTCTCCCCCGTTTAGGGTGGAGATTGGGTCCGTTGTGTTGTAGATATGGTTGATTCTATTATCGATCTTGCTAGTCGGTTAGCTCTTACGGAGGATGAACAGGATACTGTGGTAGCGCATGAGTTGCTAACCACGCCTTTTGCAGAGAGGGTTGGAGTAAGTTTAGTAGGTAAGGTGCTGACTACTCGACCTTTCAATGCGGAGGCTATGAAGTCTACGCTCCTGACGGTTTGGCGGCCAGTGAAAGGTATGGACTTTAATGTCATTGGGGATAATTTGTTTCTGTTTCAATTTCATCACATAGCGGATAAACGACAGGTGCTACTTAATGGCCCATGGAGTTTTGATAAACACCTTATTCTCTTGAATGAGGTGACCTTCAACCTTCCGAGGTCCTATTATCCGAGGCTGCTTTTTGGATCTAGGTTCATAATCTGCCTCTCATCAGTATGACTAAGAAGGTGGGATATCTGATTGGGAATAAGATTGGTTCTACAGTGGACGTTGAATATGGGGCTGGTGGAATGGCAGTCGGTCGGTATATGCGAATAAGAGTCACACTAAAGGTGGTTAAGCCTTTGCGCGCGGGGTATGAAACTTGCGGTCTACAATCGGGAGTCCGTTTGGGTGGATTTTAAATATAAAAGACTACCAAACTTTTGTTACTTTTGTGGTGTTTTGAGGCATAGTGAGAAAGAGTACAATGCGTTGCTGTCACAATCAGAGACTGGAACTGGTAAAGTTGTACAATATAGGCCATGGTTGCGTGTGGATGTTCAAAAGACCAGACCTCGCTGTAGACACCCCATTTTTGACCGACCTTAAGACTCAGACGTCACCGATTGAGCGCTCGGTGACAATGCATGTTGTGCTCGTTTTGAGTTTCTGGAGTTTCGGCTGAGAGCCTTGCCTCTGGGCCTCTGAACTCTTTGTGCTTTGACTCGGTTTGCGGATCAAGTCTTGTTTTTTCTTCCCGGAGGGAGGGAGAGGTCTTGTAGACCATCTCTCAGTGGTCGTAGGCTACTTTTCGTGGTCGTAGGCTACTGTTCCTATTTGGAGACTAGTTTCCGATTTTCGGAGCCGTCGGTCGTGCGCCTCGGCTCAAGATCGTTTAATGTTCTCCGTTTGGCTTGATTCTTGAACCACACCTTGTTTTCTCTCCCTAGAGGGACACTGTGGTCCGGGAGACCACTTTTGTGGTCGTACGCCACTTTTGATGCTCGATAGTTGGTTTTCGGGGCTCCCGGTCGCGCGTCTTGCCTCCTGAACCCTCGTCTTGCATCCGTTTTGGTTTGTCTTGGGTACAAACCTTACTTTCCATGTTTGGGAAGTGGTACAAGGGTGGGAGACTAGCTTTTATCATTGGAGACCACTTTTCTCCCCACCAGCCGATTTTCTTGGTCTTTGGGCCACATTTTCTGGTTTCCCACCCCACCATTGGCTTGCTTTTTGTATGGAGACCACCATTTCCCCTGGCCGACCACTTTTTGCCTAGGAAACCACTTTGGGTGGTCGGCCGACCACTAAAAGTAGCAGGCCGACCACCTTTTCTGGTCAGCAGCTTTCCCCCTGTTTTGGCAGACTGTATGGATGCCAACTGTGCCAGCTGGAGGGCACAGACTGTATCCTCCATACACGTGTATGGAGGGATTGCATCCAAGTTTAGCTTCTTCAAGAAGCTTGAACCCTTTGTTTTTTTATAAGAGAGGCTCTCCCTCTCTATTCCAGAGGTTCTGAGTTTTGTCTAAGGAACAAGTGTATATCTCCCTCTATATCTCTATATTTGGTGCCTAAAGTGTGTGTTGCTCTTCACCTTTACACTACAACTCTTAACCACACACCCCACCATTGAACTAAGGCTCTTGGAGGACCTTTTTGGAGGTTGAAAAGCTGGTTTTTGGTTCAGAAAATCTGCCAGTTTTGCTGAGCTTCAAGGGTAATCTCTTTTCTCCCATTTTAAGCTTTGTCTTGATCATTCTCTTAGTCATACTTGCATGCTTATTTGAGCTTTGTTTTCAACTAAAAAAAGCTTCATTTTTGAGCATTTAACATGTTTGTTTAAATGCCTCTTGGGTGCTGAGGGTCTCCTACCCTTTTGCATGCCTTGTTTGGCCTTGTTTTGTGCCATGCCTTGGGGCCTTTGAGCTAGTCCTTTCTTGGCCTTCTAGCCACTGAAATCCAGTGGATTTTCAGTGGTAGACATGTGGTTTTGAGGCCTAAAACCAGACGGGGGTGACCCCCTCTCTTTTGGTTTTGTTTGCTTGCATTTTTGGCCTATCAAAGGAGCATGTATCCCTTTACTTTTGAGGCTTGGTTCAGACACTTTTTTGTAATGTTTAGGACCTGCCTTAAGCCTGTCCATGGCTGGTTCGGTCACCTTGTGCATACATCTAGTATGTGTAATGTAATCCCATTTGTGGCCCATCAAAGTAGCATGTCTTGCTAGCATGTATTGACTCCATTTCAGTGGGTTTTTGACCATCATTTGGCATGTGTCATAACTCTATCTAAAGCTGTTTTGGTTGTCTCTTGAGTGGCTCATATACTTGTAGAACAAATCTTGTTGACTAGCTTTGTTTGCATGATGTTTTGACTCTTTATTCTAACACATTTTGGTCGTGCTTCAACATGATTTTGTTCTTATTTTGGGCTGTCTTAGCTCTGTTTTAAGGCCCCTTGGTCAAATGATGCTCGCCTTGCATGCCTCTAGTGTGATATGCTTCTCTAGCTTTTGATGCTTGAGCCTTTCAACATGCATTACATGAGTTGTTTTGCATGATTCTAAGTCATCTTGCATGCCATTTCATGCTGGAACATATGCCATTGTACTCCGTGTTTCATCCTTTCAATGCTTTTGGATAGTTGTGTTTTGTGCCTTAGGCTTGGGCCCTTGCATTGTGCATGCTTGTATGTGTGTTTATTGCCTTGGTTTCATCACCATTGCCCACTGATTTGGACATGGCTGAGGCCTATTCATTTCGGTTTAAGTCCATTGCGCATTGAGTATGTCATGTAGTTCGTAGCATTGAGCATGCCATGTTGTTATATGATTGATCATTGCACTTGTGCATGCCATTTTCATTGCATTGTGTATGTTAGTGTCATGAGTGTTGTGTATACCATATAGTTCATAGCATCATGTATGCTAGTTTGCATGATCATCCCTTGCATGCTTGCATGTCCAAGTTGTGTTGCATTAAGTTACATGATTGAGTCGCATTGTGCATGCCATGCTTGTTGCATTGTGTTTGGAATAGGTGTTAGTCCAAACATGGGAAACGAGGGACGTTTCATACTCGAAGTGATGAAACGTACCTCGATTTTCGGTCGCCGACATTCTTGACAATACATGACGGAGTTTTAGGCTTTAGGTGTCTGTATGTGCATTCATTCCATATTGAGTTGTGCAATTCGGCCCCTCGGCCATCATGCATCGAGATGCGTGATTAGTGGCCCGAGGGTCGAGACCTACACTCCCTTGAGCTTATGTAATGATAGGGAGGGTAGTCGCACATACATGTGTTGCAAATACATTGCCACGCCTCTTTCTTGCCCTCTATTGCAGAAAACCAGAAACTAGCAGCAAAAACTGGTCAGCCGACCAGATAAAGTGGCTGCCCAACCACTTTTTCTGGTTTTCACCACAAAAAGTGGTCGGCAGGTGGTCTCCAAGATCAATATCTGGTCGACAGCATCCCTACAGATTCCTAAGGTGGAGTTTCATCTCTCTGGAGTTTGGTGCAAGTTTCTGAGATCAATTGCAAACAGAGGCAAGTCGAGGCATCGCGAGGGATTTCCGAACAAGGCGACTCGAGCATGCATGCATCCTTTGTCATCCAAAGCAGAGCTGAGGCAGCCTACATTTGTTTGCTTGCATTTTTGGCCTATCAAAGGAGCATGTATCCCTTTACTTTTGAGGCTTGGTTCAGGCACTTTTTTGTGACTTTTAGGACCTGCCTTAAGTCTGTCCATGGCTGGTTTGGTCACCTTGTGCATACATCTAGTATGTGTAGTGTAATCCCATTTGTGGCCCATCAAAGTAGCATGTCTTGCTAGCATGTATTGACTCCATTTCAGTGGGCTTTTTACCATCATTTGGCATGTGTCATAACTCTATCTAAAGCTATTTTGGTTGTCTCTTGAGTGGCTCATATACTTGTAGAACAAATCTTGTTGACTAGCTTTGTTTGCATGATGTTTTGGCTCTTTATTCTAGCACATTTTGGCCATGCTTCAACATGATTTTGTTCTTATTTTGGGCTGTCTTAGCTCTGTTTTAAGGCCCCTTGGTCAAATGATGCTCGCCTTGCATGCCTCTAGTGTAATATGCTTCTCTAGCTTTTGATGCTTGAGCCTTTCAACATGCATTACATGAGTTGTTTTGCATGATTCTAAGTCATCTTGCATGCCATTTCATGCTGGAACATATGCCATTGTACTCCGTGTTTCATCCTTTCAATGCTTTTGGATAGTTGTGTTTTGTGCCTTAGGCTTGGGCCCTTGCATTGTGCATGCTTGTATGTGTGTTTATTGCCTTGGTTTCATCACCATTGCCCACTGATTTGGACATGGCTGAGGCCTATTCATTTCGGTTTAAGTCCATTGCGCATTGAGTATGTCATGTAGTTCGTAGCATTGAGCATGCCATGTTGTTACATGATTGATCATTGCACTTGTGCATGTCATTTTCATTGCATTGTGTATGTTAGTGTCATGAGTGTTGTGTATACCATATAGTTCATAGCATCATGTATGTTAGTTTGCATGATCATCCCTTGCATGCTTGCATGTCCAAGTTGTGTTGCATTAAGTTACATGATT